CCTTGAGGTCATGAACGCATGGACTAATTGTTCCGCATTTCCCAATGAGAGCATATGGCGTAATTTAGATATATTTTTAAGATGGAAAAATGCAGTTTTACAGATACTAGACACGTGGCTTTCAAAAGAAAGGTTGGTATCAAATAGCATACCCAGGTTCCTAACCGACGACGAAGACTTGACAGAGCAGCCACAATGAGTAGGTCCCGACACGTGTTGTCTAACTCCAATTGAGTTTACAATGTCTTTAAATGCCAATCCCAAAGCATCTTTTTCATTATCTACATGTATATTAAAATCACCAACAATTAGTACTTTATCTGCAGCCAATACTAAATCTGATAGAAAGTCCGCAAATTCTTTGATAAAATCTTTGATAAAAGACTTGACAGAGCAGCCATTAAGTGTTAGACAGTATTCTGGGTTATTACGTGTGGAAGTTTTTTGTCCAATAATTAGAATCTCTGTCTTTTCAGAATTTAGTAGTAGGAAATTACTAGTCATCCAATTTTTTATATCAGCTATGCATTCCGTTAATTTTGTGAATTGGTAAGTTTCGTTGGGTTTTGAAGAAATATACAGCTGAGTATCATCGGCATAACAGTGAAAGCTAACTCCATGTTTCCTAATGATATCTCCTAATGGTAGCATGTACAGAGTGAACAGCAGCGGTCCTAGTACTGAGCCTTGTGGTACGCCATACTGAACTTGTGATCGATAAGACATCTCTTCATTTACTGCTACAAACTGATAACGGTCAGTTAAGTATGATTTAAACCATGCTAATGCAATTCCACTAATGCCAACATAGTTTTCTAGTCTATTTAAAAGAATGTTGTGGTCAATGGTGTCAAATGCAGCACTAAGATCGAGTAACACTAATAGAGAGATACAACCACGATCGGATGATAAGAGCAAATCATTTGTGACTCTAATGAGAGCGGTCTCAGTGCTATGGTACGGTCTAAATCCGGACTGAAAATCCTCGCAGATATCATTTCTTTCTAGAAAGGAACATAGTTGTGAAGATACTGCTTTTTCTAATATCTTTGACAGAAAAGGCAGATTCGAGATCGGCCTGTAATTGACTAATTCTGTAGGATCAAGTTGTGGTTTTTTAACAAGCGGTTTTATCATAGCCAGTTTAAAGGTTTTTGGTACATATCCTAGAGACAAAGATGAATTAATGATATTAAGAAGAGGATATATGACCTCTGGAAGCATCTCTTTCAGTAGCTTAGTCGGTATAGGATCTAACATACAAGTTGTCGATTTAGATGAATTAACGAGTTTGCAGAATTCTTCCTCTCCTATAGCAACAAATAAATCAAATTTTTCCTCAGGGACACTACAATGCACTTCCTGATGCGATACTGTGGTAGACGGTTGCATAGTTATAATTTTGTCCCTGATATTATCAATCTTATAAGTGAAGAAGTTCATAAAGTCATCACTGCTGTGTTGCTTTGACACTTCTGAGCTTGAAGCTTTCTTTTTCGTTAGTTTAGCCACTGTTTCAAATAAATACCTAGGATTATGTTTATTTTCTTCTAATAGGTTTGAAAAATAAGCAGATCTAGCAGCTTTTAAAGCCTCTCTGTAAGCAATCGAGCTCTCTTTCCACGAAATCCGAAATACCTCTAGTTTAGTTTTCTTCCAGTTGCGCTCCATTTTTCTGGCTGCTCTCTTAAGGGCCTGGGTGTGCTCGCTGTACCACGGCGTTGGACTATTTTCTTTAATCTTCTTTAAGCGCAACGGAGCAACTGCGTCTAAAGTGCTGGAAAAGAGAGAGTTAAACGTTTCTGTTGCAATATCAAGTTCTTCTAAGCTATCCGGGATGCTGAGATGATGAAACTGATTAGGAAGATTATTGATAAAGCAATCTTTAGTGGCAGAAGTTATAGGTCTAACGTATTTATAACACGGAGTAGGCTTTGCAGCGTTGGCTAAATGTAATTTACATGAGACTAGATAATGATCTGAGATGTCATCGCTCTGCTGCAGAATTTCAACAGCATCAACATCTATTCCATGTGATAATATTAGATCTAGAGTATGATTACGACAATGAGTAGGTCCCGACACGTGTTGTCTAACTCCAATTGAGTTTACAATGTCTTTAAATGCCAATCCCAAAGCATCTTTTTCATTATCTACATGTATATTAAAATCACCAACAATTAGTACTTTATCTGCAGCCAATACTAAATCTGATAGAAAGTCCGCAAATTCTTTGATAAAATCTTTATGGTGCCCTGGTGGCCTGTATACAGTAGCCAGCATAATTCTCAAATGTGATTTTTACATTAAGCACCATTACTTCAAAAGAAGTATATTTAAAGCTACATTTCTTAGTGGTTTTGAAAATATTACTATAAATTACAGCAACACCTCCCCCTTTGCCTTTCAGACGAGGTTCATTTTTATAACTGTAATCTTGTGGGGTTGACTCATTTAAAATAATGTAATCGTTTGGTTTTAGCCAGGTTTCTGTCAAACACAGCATATCAAGATTATAATCTGAAATCATATCATTAACTATGAGAGATTTTGAAGTAAGGGATCGAATATTCAGCAACCCAAGCTTTATCATTTGCTCATCTGTATTATATCTGTTTTTTATTTGTTGAACATCAATTAAATTTTTAACCTGACGTTTTTTGGATTTCCAAATTCGGGGAACAGACACAGTCTCTATATGATGATATCTAGGTGAAAGAGGCTCTATGTGATGGGATTTATCTGACCTTGGTGACGTGAGGCTGCTAGCAGACGGTCGGTTTAGCCAGTCTGTCTGCTTCCTGACCTGAGCCCCACATATGACCTACAAGCAGAGGAAGATGTACGCGAGGTCACGCATGCGTTGTGGTGCTCTCATGAACGCGCGTCGGAGACTGATACAGAAGAGAAGAAATTACGATATTTAGTTTTTTGGATCACAAAAAGTATTCTCGTCGCTTCATAAAATTAAGGTTGAAACACTGTAGTCACATGGATTATTTTAACAATGTATTTTCTACCTTTTTGGGCCTTCAAATTGTTAATTTAAATGCTGTCAATGGAGCCTGTCACAGTCATCGTCTGCACCATCCTGTCTTCGTCTTCACTACACTTCCCAGAGTCCCTCGTGTCTCCACACCTGAACTCACTCCCTCATTACCCACCTGTTCATCATCATCGGTGTCACCTGTCCTCACCTCGTTATTGTTCGTTTGTATCTGTATTTAGTTTCCTTCTGCCCAGTCAGTCATTGTCTGTTCTTGTTGATGTCACCAGTACTGTGTATGTTACCTAGTGTGTGTGTGAGTGTTACCTGCCTGTCTGTATCTACCCTGAAGTATTATTTAGTAAAAGAGATTATATTGGAACTTTTGCCTGCTCGCCTTGTCTTCCTCCAACACCATACCGTGACAGAGCCCCTCCTGAGCCACCGGATTTCATTAAAAATATCTTAATTTGTTTTCCGAAGATGAACAAAGGTCTTACGGGTTTGGAAGGACATGAAGGGTGAGTAATTACTGACAGAGTTTTCATTTTTTGGTGAACTGACCCTTTAAGGAATAATGTTTTGGTTTGTTAGAAAATTAAATGAATTACCTTTCAGTTGTGAAGTGTTTAATATAGACATTGCAACATCCTTGATATTAAAAGATAAACTATTTGTGGTTGAATTTATAACAAAATAATGTCTAATAACTGATCTTGATATATACTGTATGTTTACAATAATATAAAACGTCTTATAGAATAATTTTTTTTTTGTAACTTCTCGGTAATGATTTCATGTAATTTAAGTGCTTAACTCTATTATTCGGAATGGCATATTTAATCTAGATGTGTATATTAGATAGTTTAAATTAATCTTTTATTTATTTAAACTTTTATTGTGAACATGCACTGTATTTATGATTAGGACTCATAATGAGGATTTAAAGTGGTTTTCCTTCATCTGCCGTCAGTCCCTCAGCTCACCATCGGTGTTGCCAAACTGCCTTGTCTCCAAAATGTGGGTACGCATGGCTCAGAGTTTACTTACAGGTGCACACATTCTCCCGTCAAGTTTGTTTTTAATAGATCACAACCTTTGCGTGGGAAGTGGCGTATTCACGTTTCCATCCCCGTTTTGTGCGTACGCCACTTCCCACGCAAAGATTTATAAATGAGACCCCAGGAGTGTACGCTTGGAAAGTGTTCTTTCCATGGACATTGCACTATGGAGACTACATCCTGCCCACAGGGAGCTTAACATGTGGCTCACCTGAAAAGGGCGAGTAATGAGGCTGGTAGCAAATTACTCGGCAGAATTCAGCTACAGATGAGTACTGGATAGTCGGAGTTAGCTGGGCACGGGGAAAGGCACTATGTGCAAGCAATACACCTAGCTGGTTGCTCGAAAATGACCAGTTCATACACAATAACACTCGGGATGAAACCGGCTCTACTCTGAGATTTTAAAATCTCACAAAAGTATTCAATGTAGCCCAGCCTGCCACTTTACAGATGTCTGCCAGGGAGGCACCATTTGCTAGTGCCCAGGAGGATGCGACACTCCAGGTGGAGTGTGCTCGCACTCCCATGAGGCACTGCATTTGGTATGCCAAAGAAATGCAATCCTTTGTTTGGAGTAGGCATGTGCCGGTATCAAATTTTCATGCTGCGATTAATTGATTGAGCTTTTATCACGGTATACGGTATTATCACGATATTTTAATAGCACAAGAGAAACAGGTTAAAAAAATAAACAAACTTCAGTTTTGTCCACTTAGTAACTTTAATAACTTTTTAAATAACAAAAAGTACCTCAAACATTTAAATACAAATAAATATAAATAAAACAATACACAATACAAATGTATAAAGTTAGTAATTGTACTATCAAACAGAAAGTGCAAACTGCAAAATAACCACTTTTGTTATTTGTTTTTAAATAGAAAAAACACAACTATAAAGAATCAACAATAAACATTTTCAACCTGGTATCTCTTCTGGACTGGCATGTGTTAGTCCTCCAGATTGAAGTGCAAAAATGTGAGCATGTTCACTTTTTCTGGCTTGAGCTTTGAACGCTGAGGTGAGAGGATGTGTCCACTGGCACTAAATACCCTCTCTGAAGGAACACTTGTTGCAGGAATGCAGAGAAACTTCTCAGCCACGGTAGCAAGATGAGGTAGTTCTTCAGCATGCAAACTCCACCACTGCAATGGATCTGCCTCTGATTTTATTAGTGCCACAGAAACATACACTTTTATCTCAGCTTCAATCTTTGACTTAATGTTGCCTTCACCCTCCTGCTCCTCTGCTCTCTGCTGCCTTGTGGAGGTGATTTTGTTGAGCAGGGTGGCCAAGCTTTGTTGCTGTTTTTCAGGAGGGGGTGGGAGGTGGGGGGTGGGAGTTGTGCTGCTTTGCTCTGTCTGGGCAGCTCCCTCACTCAGTGTTGTCATCTCTTCCAGTTTTGAGGCTTCCTCAATGCAGCAGTTGACTGTGGCATCAAGGTCATCAGAAAAGCTTCCCTTAAACCGGGGATCAACAAAGCTTGTCAAGTCCATCACCTTCTTTGCATCGGCAGTGTACCTGGACTCAAGATCTGACTTCATTACCCTCTTCAGGTCTTTGGTGAGGGCACTGTCTTCATTTTTTACCTCAAGAATGTCTGAGATGATGTGACTTAGCACCGGCCTCAGGGCTGACAGACTTAAGGCCTGTACACACCGGGACGAATATCGGCTCGCGTTATTCGTCAGCGTTTTTCAACGCGTTTTTTGTGTTCACACCCAAGCGATTTTCGCTGACGATGAGCCGAGTGAACACGCAAATTCATTCCCTGACATTAGATGGCGCTTAATGTAAAACAGAAATACCCCGGTCCACAAAGTGGCGCTGCGCAACTACGCTTCTGACACTCGCTTGTCACTCAGAAGAAGAGAGCAAGTTTGTCGCGTTTGTCATATAGTTCTTTATTGTCGTTGGTGTCTCTTTATAAAGACACCAACAAGACCAGCAGCTCTACATTCATCTAGCCTTGCATCTTCCTCGTCTTATTTCTTCCCGGCAGAGTATAGACGCTGTATATCTTCTTCGCCATTACGTATGTGTGCTCAGCAAGACCGTTTTGTGTTTGAGCGCCCCCAAGTTGTGTTTTACTGTAACTTCAGAAGCTCCAGACACGTGAGCAAAAGCGGCAATCTCATTGGTCGGATAGTTTTTGACGTGGCGCGTCAAACCAAAAAAACGAACCCGAGGCGTTTTTTAAAAAATGACGCTTTTACGCGTGGCGTTTTACGCGTCGGTGTGCACACTCGCATAGGCGCCCTTTGTTTAGTCACGAGGCGTTAAACGTCGGCGAATAACGCGCGCGAAATTCGTCCCGGTGTGAACAGGCCTTTACTCTGCTCTCTGAAGCCAAAGCATCAGTAAAAGCACTGAGTGGTTGAAGGATTTGCAAGACTTGCTCAATGACTGCAATATCTGCATCCTTTGGCATCAAATGCCATGCCCCTCTCTCAGTTGCCAGTACAGCACAGACTGCCTGCTGTTGTTCAATAAACCTCTGCAGCATTTTCTGTGTCGATCCCCATCTAGTGACTACGTCATGGATGAGCGACCTCTGAGGGATGTTTAAGGCCTCTTGTTTATTTCTGAGCTCTCTTCTTCTCTTCCAACTTCTTGAAAATCCCTGCACCAAATGTCTACAGCTTCGGACAGCTGTGTCCACCCTCTGATTTTTCAGAGCTTTAGAAATGGCCAGATTCAAGTTGTGGCCAAAACACCCAAACCACTGACTGGGGAAGGTGGTGTCATTCTCGAATGCCTTTTTCATGTTTGTAGCATTATCAGTTGTAACACTGACAAGACGCTCTTTGTTGATGCCCCACTCCTGCAACATGTTTTCAAAAAATTCCCTGATATTGTCAGCAGTGTGGTCTTCTGGAAAGAACTGCGTTTCCAGGCAGTTTGATTGAAGTTTCCAATCTGTGAGGTAGTGGATGGTGAAGCTGATGTATGGATGTCCACTTCCTCCACTGCTGGTCCATAGGTCAGTTGTTGCTGCATACCATTTTCCCTGGGCTATACGCTTGCCAACATCCTCTTTTAGACTGTTGTACATTTTGGGTAATTCTGTCTTCGAGAAAAACTACTGTGAGGGAACTTTGTAAAGTGGAACTGTCGTCTTCATCAGTTTCTGAAATCCTGGTTTTGCTACTGTGTAAATTGGTATCATGTCCTTAGCAATACAATATGCTATGGCATGGTTGATTTCCTTGGCCCGATGAGATGAGGGTCCATATGAAGCCTGACGCTGGAATGCCTCTTTGACTGTTGGCTGGACGATGGCTTCAGCTGAAGATGAACCAGCAGCACTGCTAGATGCATGGCCACTCTGTAAAATAGGGAAGAAAAATATTACTTCATACCTCTGAAAATGTCAATAAAAGATGCTGTTCAGACAGAGAATACAGGCAAAGTAATGCTAACTGAAAATTTGTTTTTTGTTTGTTAGATTAAATATATAATTTTAAATAATTAAATTAATATTAAATATTATAAACACATGATGATGAGCTTTCTTCCACTTTACAATAGTGTAATCAACACCACAATTACATAGCCAAATAACACATATAACATCTCTTGATATTTAAAGGGTCATACTGACAAATTACTTACCAACGACTTGTCAGTACGACAGTAGCACTGTAATTCAAGTTATTTTTTCTAAATAACAAAGCCAGTAGGTAAGCTAATATAGCTAGCTAAACATTTATAAACAAAAAGTTTAGTGCACTGTGTGGAAAATGTATTTGTGTTGCGTTCCTTTTTAACTTTAATTTCAAATTAATTATTCTGCCAAACCTCCATTATTAATTACACAACTTACTGATTATTGTATTTTTGTTGTTAATACAAGACGCAAACTTTAGCGTTGCTAGTGGAGTTCAGGCTAACTCTTAAACTACGTGGAAGCAAGCTACAAGCAGCAAATGGAAATAAGTTAACGTAATTTTGCCATCCTGTCTTTTCAAATAGTATTTTTTTTTGTGGCATTCAACATGAGAAATAAAGTGTCTTACCTTTATCTCCCTGAATTGCACTGGATGGTTGTCGCGAAGATGAGCGAACATGTTAGACGTGTTCCCATGTTTCGCAGCCACTTTCCGTCCACACGTCTTACACAAAGGGAAACCGTCTTCGATCAGCAATCCCTCTGCATTTTTTTGGAACCCAAAATATTTCCAAACCTCTGACTTAATTTACCCTTTTAGAAGGTGGATAAATCGTAGGCAGCATTCCCCCTTCCGCCATGCTTCTTCTCTATGTGAGAATTATTTACATTAGACCTCAGTGCGCACTGCGCGCATGCACACAGTGCTTCTACACGTGGGCATTGTTTACAGAGTGCGTTCGCTCACGTGTTTTGCGCAGCATATACGCAGTGTTTTTTAAGCGGTTGATGGAAAATAAGCTGATGCGCGTTCTAGACATCTAAATTCGGATCTATTATTATTCACGGTATTTTGAAGTGCCCGCGATAACAATATCGTGCATATTCATTACCGCGATTTATCGCATTACCGAATACCGGCACATGTCTAGTTTGGAGATATCCTTCTTCTGCCAAAACAGACAAAGAGCTAGTCCGAGCATCTAAATAAGTTCAAATAAATGCACAGGGTGCACACTGGACACAGCAGGAATAAGTGCTTGCAATATCACAACTTAATCCCTGAAAGGATTGGTGGGAACTTTGGGCACATGGCCGGGGTGTCAGGATCATGTGAGAGTATGCCGGCCAAACTCAAGGCACGTATCGCTAGCAGAGTGTGCCTGTATGTCCTCAATCCTCTTGATGGAAGTGAGCATGGTCAGGAGGGCCATCTTCCAAGAAATGGCACTGAGCTCAATAGGGCTCTCTGCAGGGCCAGTAAGACCAAAGAGAAATTCCGAGAGGGAATAAGGTATTGCCTCTGAGGATTCAGCCTCCTCGCGGCTCTGGGGAACATAATGTTCAGGTCAAGCTGTCTTACAGTCCACCATGTCTTGATATGCTGCAATCGCAGCCATGTACACCTTGAGAATAGAGGGGGATAACTACATCTCCAGTAAGAATGAAATCACTGACCTAATAGCACACTTCTGTGGTACACCTTCCTCTAAAGGAGGAAATGGTGTTCGAGTTGTGGCATGTGACGTGAGCGAACACCACCCTGGCAATTTATAAATACAACTGTCGCTATATTGTCCATCTGAACTAAGACATGCTTGTCCTGGATCAATGGTCGAAACCTCCACAGGGCCACCAGTACAGCCAAGAACTTGAGGCAGTTGATATGCCACCGCAGTCGAGGCCCTGTCCAAGGTCCCAAAGCTGCTTGCCTGTTGCAATGCCCCAGCCTGTTTTCGACATATCTGTTCTAAAGAAACCCCTGCCCTATAATAAAAGATGTGTGCCACGGAGCCATACCCATCTCGGTATTCACGCCAGTTCTGAAGCAGTCTTGTATGCATAAACCCGAGCGGTGACTGCCGGTTCACGTGCTGCTGGTGCAGGGGGGTGAACTCTGCAATGAGCAGGAGGAGTGCAAGAACTCGGGGGCCAAGACGCATGAAGAAACCTACCTGCAACGCTACCCGAAAAACTATGTGCAGGTGTACCTAGGGCAAAAGATGGGTGGTCACACCAAACATTGATTTGATTAAGGTAATAGAAGTTAATTGATAAATACAATCTATTTATGACACAATTTTATTTTAGTTATCAGTCAAATTAATTTTTACTTTGTTTATATAATTATTCTTTTTTTACGCAACAAGCATAAGGGTACAAACAAAAAAATTAAGTGCAAATACAAAAATAAGATGGTTCTTAATAATCACCCTTTATTAAATGTATGAACACAGAAACTCCGTTAACAGGTTGATGTCACGTTTCCCATTCCATGACTAGTAAAATAATCGCAGGGTGATGGACACGGAGATGGGTAAAAAGGTTGGTGGCTACACATTCTGCAGCGCCGCGTCGCGTGTAGGACAACTCGAGGTATCGCACACCGGATGCGCACTTTCTCAGTTTATGGCCAGCAGTATTCTTATGTTTAAGGAGATTATGAAATTAAGATAATGTCTGTACTATGTTATGATTGTACTGTACAATTAAATACAATAGTTGCTGAGTCTGTGATCTGAACACTTTACCTCAGAGCATACATTAACTGAATGAATTGAGAATATCACCTGAAAATCCGATAACATCAGCAATTTTCATTCAAGCAGCTGATTTCTGTAAATTTATGTAAAACTAAATGTACATTGCAGCACAGGGTGAAGTCATTTACGATGATTTGAGACAAATATAATGTACATTTAATATAAAACTATGTAAATGGCGCTCTGTGTCGCGGCAGGATTTTGAACAAGAGCCGTTGCTGGGCGCCGCAGACAGACGCCGAATGGCACTGCGAATATTTTACTAGTGTGTACACTCGAAGAGAAAATGTGTTCGAATTTTAAAGACGTGGCGCTGCGCTTCTCATCCGGTGTGCGACCCCCTTTAAAGTGCCGTTTACTTTTGAGCCGAAGAACTCCCATACAGGTGAACTTACTTTTTTCGGGTGTGGACAGAGTGTTTCACTCTCTCGCTCAGACGACATTCTTCTCAGAGTAGCTGCGCGGCCCAGGTTGCATCTTCTTTGATAGGTGTCAGCCGCAGCGGGTGCAATACAGCCACCTGAGAGGTCAACCAGGTACTCGCGCTGGAGTATTTACGTGTCATGTTATCATAACAGTCCTATTCATTTTAAACGTCGTGGTTATCGCCAATACCGGTATATTGCCACACTCTAAATTAACACGATGTCGATATTTCATGCTTTGAATATCACGATTATCGTCAACACCGGTATATTGCGACACCCTTAGTTTGGATGCAAGCCACCTCCTTTTATATCCATATGTCTGGGGAAGTGACATGCTAATTCCACTCACCAATTCTCATTGGCTTTTTCAGAAGTATCAGTGGTGATTGGGGCTCCCAAGTGCGACCCCTAGTGTCACTATATCAACACAAAGTCAAAGTGAGTGACATATAGAGAACTACTTCTAAAACGGATAGTTCCAGCCCTTGATGGTGATTGGTCAACAGCTGTGTTTTTTATGATAAAAACAGAATATTGGTATATTTTTATCCCTGTTGCATTTGAATCAATATACTGGAAAAACTTTTCATGTATTGTGCATTTCAGCACAATTAACTGACTCTAATTTAATTAAATGATAAACTGTGTTATTTTGGGATCACTGATTTACCAATACTTTTTTTGTTTTGTTAATATTTTGAATGAGATTTTAATTTTCAATTTTCACTTTAATTTTAAAGTTTTAGGCTTAAAATTCGCACTGCAGGCAAAAGTGGCCCAAATCATATTTTATTATAAATGGAAAATTATTATAGTGTAAACAGCACAAACCACATGGAATCAGATCTTTTTGATTCTGATTTGGGACACTTCCAAATGTGGTCCTAAATCCGGTACAGGTCAGGGCCCGTATTCATAAAGATTCTAAGAATCCTCTCAGAAAACTCTTAATTTAGCTTAAAAACCTTTACGTAGGAGTCTTAGCTTAAAGAGCGATTTGGTAACGATCTGAGAGCAACTCTGAGTAAGGAAAAAAAAAAACCTCATCTTTGTGAGGAGGCGGGGTTGACCCCGTTGCTATGTATGACACAATCTTTTGAAGACTGTGATTGGTTGGTTGTCCAAGAAGGAAAAAAAAGAGCCATTTTAAGTATAGAGTTCACACACATTATATTTATGTATATAAATCCTTTTTTTTATCTTGCTGTTAATTTCCTAAGGTATTTGATTGGCTTAGAATGATAAACATTGTTTCACTCTTTCCAATTACACTGATTGCTGTCTATTTAAGTGGTGGTTTGAATGTTTGTTTTAATATAGCAAACATGAATAAAAAAACAAGAGAGACAAGAAAGCCCGACTGGTCAGAAAACCGTGTTTACTGTTAGCCCAGTTAGTGGATGAACACTAGGCCATCATTAAAGGAAAATTCGGGCCGGGTGTCACAGCATGGAGCGAGAAGTGGACGTGGGAG